CGATAGCTAAGCGGGGCCTCCCCCCGCACCACCTCCCGCGGCGGTGTGGGCTTCCCAGCGTGGAATCTCGTTTCCCGCAATTCCCACCGAGACCCACCCCCTTACGGACGGTCCCCGGAGCCCCCCGCCCCGCCGGCTTTTCCCCGGTTCCGCGGGAAGGGCGAGCGGCGCGTCCTGCGCATTAAAAGCAATTAACACCATTTGGGGAATTTTTAATTGCTCTATAAAGCACGCTGTAAATAATTACTCCCAGCTCTGTTGATCCCTCGAATATGCACTGACAGTTGTAATTTATGGCTTTGGAAACGTGGCCCCTTGTATTCAGCATAACTCCTTATTACAGTAATGACTTAGCGCCGCTGCACTTAATGAGTATAAAGTGCCCGGCGCAGCGGGAGCGGGCGGGAACCGCAGCACCGCACGAACTTCGCCCGCAACAATATTTCTCCCCTTTATGGTTACAAACGCCCGAGGGGCTACGAGTTAATACGGCGGGGAAGGAGCGGCGGGACCGGGGGAGCGCAGCAGGGCCTGGGCGGGGAGCGCGGCCGGCCCCGCGCTCTGTCAACGACTTCTCCGGGGGCAGTCGTTACCTACCAAAAATAAGTATTTAGAGCAGTCCACAAACTCCCCTCTCGCCTCCTGGTAGCCGCTGGCCGCCTGGAGAAAATGGGTTCAGGAGAGGGAAGAGAACGGTCACAACTCATCGCACCTAAAGGCGCAAGAAATGCGGTTGCCGGGGTCCCCCGAAGGGCAGGTCGGCCTGCCCCCATCGCCCGACTGCACCCACCAGCCCTCCGGCTGCCTCGGGACTGAGCGGCACCGTGCAACAGGCCGGGAGTCCCTCATCCCTCCCGGTCCCCCCGGCCGGGGGTACCCGCGGGAGGGGAGGTAGCGGGGTGGTGGCCGACGGGGGCTGAAGTGCCCGGCGGCGCCCCATGAATATTCAATGTTGCCGGTTGCCGGAGGAGCATCTGCCAATAAGTTATTGGTCCTGCGGCACCAGTCCCTCTCTCCACCGTGCAGAAATGCGTGTAATCCCATTAGCCCCGTCCCCTTGGCCACCCGCCCCGCACCAGCCCCGCTAATGAACGGCGTCTGGCCGCCACCCCCGAGGGCACCGACGGCAGCGGGGGACACCGGGGGCCCTGCCCCGTTATTAACTCCCAGCTTAATTACACCTCCCGTGCCAGTTAATACAGCCGTGCGGTAAGGGAGAACGCTGGACACCCGCGTCCCTCAAGCCGCTTTCCCTTGGGTCTCCCCGGCTCCGAAAAACCAGGCCTGTCGCGATACAGAGGGTGGCAGTCCTGACTTCGCCCCGATCCTGCGGCTCCCCTGCCCCCCTGGGGGCTGCTCGCCGCCCC